AATGTAACCTACTTACAAACAGTTAAGGTACAAGGTAAAATCCGACAATTGTGGGCGTCGCACCCCAACTTGGCCTTCTTCAGCAATCTCAGGCGATGCATTAGATTCTACAAGCAGTACTGTGTTCGTAAGCAATTGCTCAACGAGTAGGAGAAGTCCACCTACGAAATAATCTAACTGCGGTAGTCTCAGCACTCCAAGCAGAGCTGGGGGACACCAGCCTACAAATGCATCCAGCATGCTCTGTGGATGAACTCTAGAAAGTAGAAAAGTAAAAAGTCAACAATTTATGACTCAGAAGCAGGTTAATGTGGAGGTAGGTTGGTAATACAACATTTAAATAATTTTTTAAGGTGCATAAAGATCGCACGACGGCTGCTCATCTCATCGCACAAAGAGAAACCAAGACAATATCTCTAGAGGCCCATTATTTTACTCAACATTAGTTCCAAGATCTTTGCTAAGGCTCTCAAGCTCCATCTGCAACAAATTTTATTTGAAATCATCAGCTTAGATCAAACAACCTTTTTTCCTATGAGGTATATCTTGAACAATTTGCTATAATCTAAAAGAACAATCTAGGCAACTTCTATTATTATTTAAACTTGCTTTTGCTAAAGTATACAATATGGTGGATTGAAAATTCATGTTTTTTGTAATAGAAATGTTTAGAATGCCCAAGAATATATTATAATGATAAAGCTATTCTTTTATGAAGCAGAAGCTTGCATCAAGATTAATGGCTCCACATCCTCTTCATTTGCAATTAAAAGAGGGATTTGACAAGATTGTCTACTAATTTCCTATCTTTTCTTTATTGTAGCAAAATCTCCTACGTGCCATGGTACACCAAGAAAAAATGGATGGATATATCTAAAGCATTCACTTATCTATGGATGATAAGCTATAGATTATAGCACAATATGCAAATAATAATTTAATTTATAAGGAAAAAACAGCCCTACAAGCAATCTCATTTCACTTCTTGAAATATTTTGTTTGGCATCAAGTCTCAACATAAATTGGACTAAGTCAAGTGGATATTTGAAAGCACTAAATAATACACCTAGACTAGCTTGGATAGACAATTTAGAAATAACTAGGAAAGAACATGATGGAGTAAACAAATTACTTGTATCCCCCTTTGGATTGTCATTAAAATCCGAAGATGTGGATAAATTCTTGGAAACATGTAACAGGCAGAAATTCACCTATTAATGCACTAAACAGATCAATGCAATGGAGAGGGGAGTAATGGTCAATAATATATTATTATCTTTACTATACTTCTTTATATCACTATAAGGAGGCACAAAAAAATTATTAGCCAAAATTAAAGCCAAACTATGAACATATCTTGTCTCTAGTACCATAGAGATATTTAAAGTTAGAATTGGGTGGTTGTAGTGTTATCAATCTGAAGCCAAAGGAGGTATTAACCTAATCCATCTTGATAAAGCTATATTAGTATTAATAATAAAATGGATCATCAAGTGAACTAGAGTTAGCTCAATCTTCAACTAATATTCAAGTACAAACTAAGGTGCTATCAACCTTATGCTTGAGAAAGATAAAAGCCTAGTCTAGACTATTTTACACTATTGACTCACCAAAGTCATAATGGATCGATTGTGTAGAATCAAATTGCTTCTGCATAGAAAAAGCTACTTTGAGAGCTTACTTATATACTGCCTATAAACATAGATGCACTTCTAAATTGTAGCCTATGGCATTGGCCAATTTGTTACATTGATTGGGCTTGAGTTTTCTAAATTAAGGGCATCACAACTACACAAAGTTGGCATAAGAGTTTGTGGAGATGTGTGGAATGTTCAAAACTTTATTTCAATGGAAGAAGCAGTAAACATACATAGACTAACTCCAAGGGAAGGCACATGGGTTGTTGCTTGTTGTCTCATATATGGTACATGGAGAGTTTTATTAACTTCAAACCAACTAAGGTATGAGGTGGGTGATTGGGTGGGAGTGTATGGTGTGGCTAGCGACACACTCCCGTACACAACATTCTAGATAAGTAGGACTTCAATTGAGCAATAGCCAAGACACAACCAAAGATTTTGATTGAGACATCCATGTATCAGGTCTGAGAAACCAGTTGCAGCTTAGCCCTAGTCACAATGTAGGATGGAATGACCTGGTTCAGCCAAACATAGGCTAGTCAATATTTTTTCATGTAGATAGATATATATACAAAATCACTCTAGAAACCAAAAATAGAATTATTCGGTTTGCAAAATTGATTTAAGTTTAGAAATTTATAAGTTTGCATCCAAATGGAGTGGGTGGGTGATTTTTTATTTTTTATTTTTTATTTTATTTTTTTGTCACACTTCACAAAGCAGGTTGATGTTCTTTGCAATTGTCTTATTACTATTATTAATATTGATTATCTCCTTCTTCTTCTTCTTCTTCTTCTTTGTCTTGTTCATTTGTTTGTTGTTGTTGTGTGAGTGAGGATTGTGGTTACCTTAAAGTTAATCCAGAACCAGGTCATTATTGTACACCCTGGGCATTATTGTAGGCACAATGGTTTGTAGCAACAACCCATGTGCCTACCACTCATTGGAAAAGAGTAGAGCATGTGAAAGAAGCCAAAAAAAATCCATCTTCTACTTGTTTCATAGTGGAGTTGATTGACTCCAATAGGATTCATAGAGGTTCTATTGGAAGGATAAGGAATTGATACTGTGTTACACAACACAACTGGGGCAGCAATGCTCAAAACAGCATCATGAAATATTGGTAGTTGTGGCATCTAAGTAGGGAGGGGTATTGCAAAACTCATTCAAATTGCATTGGCTCATGGTTTGAGACAGGCAACGCACATGGAAAGAAGTCAGCCTCATCTGGCTAATCTGGCATTGTGCTGTTGCTGTTAATGCATGGAGAGGCAGAATGGACACAAATGTGGACTGGAGCTGCCCAATGTACCTCATGGGGAGAGCCAAAACAATGGTACACAAGTTCTGGGAGTATCCTGTGGCAACCAGAGCTTGGACATGGGGTTGCAACATCCTTGAAAATTTTATAAAACAGGGCTTGAGTGGATAATCCACACCAAGAGACAGGAGTGCAGGGTGCAGGGTGCAACACCCTTGCAGCTCAAAACAGAACAGGGCCAAGGAGGGGTACGGGAGGCAGACAGACAATTCACACTGCAAATGCAAGTGGGAACAATTTGGGGGGAAACCAACACCAGCATGCTCTTAACTTCACATGGAAACAAGGGATCTTTGCCCATAGGATACCACTCCGATACAGAAAAGCAAGTTGTCAATGGTCACTGTTGAGAGAAATTATTTTGTGGAACATCTGGATTGTACAAAATGATGCTGCCTTCAATGACCCACACTGGCACCACAAACAAATGGTTAACACAATGTTGCTCTGCTTGGTTGATTATGGGAGGATAGGTTGGGCGTCAAAGTAGGCAAAAGCAAAGAAATTGCCAAATTAAGCACAAACATTAATTGGAACTTTTTGGCTCCAATGGTGTGTCAATGAAACAGTAGAATTGTGGGTTTCAGGGGCCCCTCAATGGAGATTAGTAAGTTCTGTTATGGCCGGAAGAACCCAGTAAGCCTCATCATGGAATGATATACTTAGAAAGTAGTATGGTCACTTTGAGGAAGCCAGCCCTGGCCAATATGTTTGTATGTAATTTTTTCTCTCCTGTAGTAAAGTCTTGCTTTACTTGTGTCATGAAAAAAATAAAAATAAAAATAAAAAATAAATCATCATGGGCAAAATAAATGTGTAGGTCAAATGGGAAGTTCAACCAAACAAATTACTCTGTACTCTGGGGATGTAAAATGAGCTATAGTTGACATTATATTTCATACTTTACACTCTTCTTTTGTCTCATCTAGCACAATTAGATGGGACTAACCTAATTGTGTGTGTGTGTGTGTGTGTGTGTGTGTTTTTTTTCTTTTAATCCACAGCCATGTGGGTCTGCTGCAGAGATACCATCTCAGTGTCTTTGTTGTTGCTGCCCCAAGTGGCTATTTGAAGACCACCACACAATTGAGCCAGCAAACAAACAAACAAACTGCAGCATCAGGGTAAGAGAGGGTGGGATATATGATTTTTGTGGCAGTGAGTGAGGTCAGGTGGTGGGTTATTTGTTTTTTTGGAGCTTCCTTCCAGAATCCACTGTGAATGCATCCCACCATGATTGGCCACATGAATGATCCATCTCACTGCTTGGATTTTCTACACAACTCCATCATATTTGCACTCTAGAAGGTATTCAGGTGGTATTAGTATATACAAACATGTAAATATATATATATATATATATATGTGTGTGTGTGTGTGTGTGTTGAAGTTATAAATTGCTTTGCTCCTCACAAAGGGAAATGAATCTTGTAATTTTTGTCTAGTTGGAAGAAATTATATTTTGAAATTTTGGAGAGTAAAAAAATTTGAGGTGGGTGGATAGTACCTCAAGTGGTGGGTTCACAATCTCACTGGCCACAATTATACATACATTCATATTTGAAAGAGTATAGTGCAATTTTCCGTAAAGATACCAGTAAGTTTGCAAGGAATAGTTTTTTCTTTTTCTTTTTACCTACATTCCTACTTGTAGCTGCATGCGGGACCCTGATAATGAAGTTGGTAAGGGTATTCTCTTAACCTTTTGCTGTACAAATGGACTAACCATGTCATATATCTACACCTACTTTTGTCATTTTCTTAATTCTTTCTGTTTAGGGTGCAGGGGGGTGTGTAGCAGGGAGAGAGATGTAGCTCAATCTCTAGAAGCTATTGTAACTTTTTCAGCGGTGCTTCTTGGGTAAAAAAAACGTCCAGTTGTTTTCAGCGTGAGACATTTTGTTGCAGGTTGGTTCCTTCACCTCGTTTCTCGCCAAGAGAGGTGCTGAAACCGACAATTGAGTTGATGCAGCTTTATGGAAAAAACACAGGTCTACAGGTACCACTGTATGCAGGTTGAAGAAATATTTTAAATTGAATACCGAAGAAAATGAAGTACTATTATTAGATCAAAGACAGAGTATACACAGGAGTTAAGTTAAAATATGGACAGAGAATTTAGAAGAGGAATTGCCACCTAAGTTCTATAACCCAGGCAGTAAAAATATTTCCCTGCAAGGGCTCAACCCGCATTAACTTAGTCTAACCTAGATGTTAGTCATCATCATCCAGCTTGAACTTTTCTCCAAATTCTTGCAGTGAAGGGAACCACAACTGATTGTCTGGCAGACTTTCATCCAATCTCCAAGTCGTTCGACATTTACACTCATCTCATCAAAATTACTCCAGAACAGGCCCAGCTTCAAGAATCTTCTGCGTCAGCTTGCTATCTCCACCAACCTTGTAATCGGCGTATAGCTCAAAGTTCTTCTGGAAAAGCCCAGCAAGCTTCTTCAAGGTCTCGTTGTAAAGCTTCTTATCTGACCACTGCACACAGAAAATCATCATCAAAATTTGAGAAAGAAGAATATACTAGCCACTTCGGATGGCTGTTGAAACAAGCTTCGTACAATAAGGGACCAAAAGCGACAACTCGCATGCACAACATTGCACCGAAATGAATGATCTATAAACAGTCAACAAAAACCTGAACTCACGTGCGCATGTGAGTAGTACTAAATGAACCCAAGGACTAGCCTTGTTGAATTTATAAAGACTACATACCGCGTTCTGTGGCTGCAAAACTTCACTTGGCAACCCGTTGACCTCAGTTGGCACAGACAAGTTGAAAATCGGAGTTTCCACGTATTCAGCATTCAGCAAAGACCCATCATGAATGGCATTAATGATCTTCCTTGTGTAGGCAAGTTTCATCCTCGATCCGACACCATAGCTGTGAAACAAGCAGAACGTCAGCATCGTCAAAGCGCGCAACGTTACAACGTAGTAAAACCGCAGGCAACACTTGCATAACACATTAATCACTGGCGTCCATACCTGCCGCCAGTCCAGCCAGTGTTGACCAACCATGCAGTAGCACCATATCGCTCCATTTTCTCGGCAAGCATGGCAGCATACTTGGTTGGTTGCATCATAATGAAAGCAGCTCCAAAGCATGCTGAAAAAGTGGCCGTAGGCTCCTTCACACCCTCCACGGTCCCTGCGACCTGCAAAGGGACCAAAAGAAATCGTCAGCGCAATACAATACCCGGAAAATGGCTTAATTGCAAAAAGATCCAAGTTTTCTCGGCCCAGACACATCCGTTCCCGAAACTTACCAAAGCAGTGTAGCCACTGATAAAATGATACATGGTTTGTGCATGTGTCAATCTGCTCACGGGAGGCAAGACACCAAAAGCGTCACACGCGAGTAATATCACGTTCTTTGGATGAGGTCCAACGCAAGGCAGCCTGACGTTGGGAATGAACTCGATGGGGTAAGCAGCCCTCGTATTTTCTGCAACGAACATAACTCAAAAGATGAGCTCTACCAACTTCTGAGGAATCAGTTGTGTAGGATGAATGCAAGTGTGGAAAAGCTGGCGGGTTCAACATTTTGAAATCTGAACAAACACGGAGTCCGTAGATGGAAGTTAGAAACTTTACCAGTTACTGATTTGTCGGAGTAGTCAACTTCCCTGTAATGCTCCTCGAAGACGACGTTTTCTAGCACTGCAGCGCAATAAGAAGTAACCAGAATAAGAAATGTATCGTCAACATTTGTGTTACAAATTGAAGTGAAGGACAGAAAACAACCATCAATATTGAAAATACGAACTCGATAAAGCCCTACAGTACTCACTCCACACCGAAGGTCAAAGTCTCACCAGTTCCAAACTTGATAGCATTCCAAATCTCTGGCTCCTTTTCGGCAGAGAGATCAATGCATTTTGCATAACACCCTCCCTCAATGTTCGAAACACCCGTATCACTCCAGCAGTGCTCGTCATCACCGATAAGCTGGCGATTAGGATCAGTTGAAAGAGTCGTCTTACCAGTACCTGTCATGTAAAATACATCAAACCAGCCGTACATATAAATAAGTTGTACACTGTTGTTATCGTCTGACTGATCAAGCACGGAGGCTCTCGTTTTCTTTTCCCAACTATACCTGATAATCCAAAAAACAACGCCACATCCCCTGCCTTTCCCATGTTGCAGCCTGAGTGCAACGACAGAATTCCTCTTTTGGGCATCAAATAGTGCATGAGGCTGAAGAGACCCTTCTTCATCTCTCCAGCATATTGGGTCCCCAAAATCACCATCTCTTTTCTTTTGAGATTCAAATCTATGCTAGTTGACGATGACATGTAGTGGGTATAGCGATTGCAAGGAAATTGTCCGGCATTGTAGATTGTGAAGTCCGGAGTTCCAAAATCCTCGAGCTCTTCAGGGGTAGGGCGAATGCACCTGCCACCCATATGCTTAATGCCACCGAGCACACGAAACACATACATGCATCGATATAGACCTCCCCTTAATCCACGGCTAAAGGGACCCTCCAACATACAATCACCTCTAATTTTGTTTCAAGCCCATCGCCCAGAACGCTAAAGCCTTCGGTTTTTGAGAGTCTTGTACGTTTGAAAATGTGCAGAGTATATAGGAACCAAAAGACGTACAAAGACGTCGCCAAACCTAATATTTAGCGTTAAGTTTCCATACCGGGCATTGTAGAGGATCGATTAGAGTTCGAAAAGTTCAGAGGCTTACATGTTGTGCATGAAAAGTGAGTGGTATGCACGGGCAGATATGATTCGGACTTTGATACGGTTCTCAGGATCCCAGTTAAGGAACTGATCATTTACAAAGACCTGCAGAGTCATAAAGATTGCGTGAATAATCAAACAGTTACTTCCGATTCTTTTTAAAATTATACATTTCTGCAAAGAATTACCCAATAGTTACACCTCATCACTCAAAACGATAGTGTATCCTCTGTCTCTAATCCACGGACACAAACATACCTTCTCCAAGGAATTCAAGTAGTCAACCGCCCTCTCGCGATTAACCAAAAAAGTCTCTTCATCCATCTCAATATTTGGGGAACCTCTGGTAAACCAGCCACGAAAATAGTTTAATAAACCTAAAACGATACAAGTAGTTTAAATAGCAATTTCTTACGATTTCCAATGTGTATCCAACACCTCCACAGCTGGAATTGTTCATATGAACTTAGGTGAAACCCGAAGAAACAAAATCAATTTTAAAATCTAAAGACAAAAATTTATTCAAAATGAAACAGATTATAGAATTTGGAACAATGATAAAGAACCCCCACAAGGATAAGACACTTACTTCCCCCACCACAAGTCATCTTGTGAGGTCTCTTCCTTCACCACACGTTTGTCTTTAGGAGAACGGCCAGTCTTGGCACCAGACATGGTAGCAAGTGCTCCAGATGATGTGATAAAAGAGCCCTTCTCAAACTTGATTGCTTGTTCATACAGCTCTGTAAAGACCAAGTACACCACCCGTAAGAACATGTCTATGTGTAGACAGATAACTAAACAGAAGAAATAGCTTACTCTACCAGAAATTTAAAGATGCAAAACCTGCTACGGAAGGGAATAAGGATCGAACCAGAAGGCGACAAGTTGTACAGGACGTGCGTAAACTTCAAAGCGCTGTCACTGATGTCGAGTCTGGGAGCGACCACAGACTTAAGAGGGCCTCTTTTCCTGGCTGGATCTCCCTTGATAACCTGAGGTCCCTGATCGCGGGTCAAAGAGGCCAAGGATGCGCTGCACAATAAAAAAAAAAACAGGGAAAATTAGTCGGATAATTGACAACAATGAAGTTTGAACATCACATGAACTTCGTGCACACCTGCCTGTAGGTGTGGCACACTTCCAGCGTGCTTTGTGTAACTGATGATAATCCTGCAATGCAGCACGGCGAACTCACTACTCAAACGTTGTCCTTAAGAGTTTACGTGTGAAGATTGTACCTAACAGAGTGCATCTGCTGTTTGTGAAGCTCCTCCTCAGAAACGTACGAGCGAGGAGTCATGCTCCTGGGCGTGGAAGGGTTCGTGGCTGTCCTTGGAGTAGTCGGGGCGGACGCTTTCTTCCTCTGTAAGGCGTGCAACTCTTCAACATTCGTCACCTTCACTGGAGGTGTCGTATCGTCCTTGCATACCTCAGTAGACTTAGTGTTGATTTTAGAAAGGCCATTTGGAACCACCGAGCTCATGAACTCGAAGTCCGGGACCTCATTACCATTTCCATTAAACGCCATTTTGTTTGATAGCAACCCAGACAGGCTCGGCCTGCGCACGAACCAAACAGCATTAGCTTTTGAACTTACTCCACGAGACTCAGAGTAAATCATCAATAGTATAACGATGCTAACTAGCACAGAAGTGACAATCGCACTAAACGATCGATGACTACTAATCACCCGGACTGACGGCTCCGAACAAGTCTATGACACGCACAGAACATCCAACGATACAATCCAAGAACATCGCAAACAACTGAAGGCAGCCCAGAACTAAAAATAATTAAAAGTAACAATAAGAGACAACTTGGAATATAAGTATTCAGAACAAGCAACAATTAACACTGATATACAGCTCCTTTGACAACTTGGTACCTACGTTAGACAGGGACTTACATTAAAAGATTAGGTGGAGACTTTGAACAAACACAAGGACCTGAAAATTTAGACTACAAACCAGAACAATTATCAACCAAGCGTCATCCAACTTCAATGTCCAAAAATCTATCTGATAAAAAAATATATATATTAATAATAATAAATAAATAAATAAATAAAAACACACGCTCAAGTACCAGAACCTACAGCATCAGAAGGCTAGTGAGAGACAACACTCAAACAAAAACACAAAAACCGCTCCTCAATTAGCAACAACTCTCAGAAACAACCTCCATAAAAAAGAACACAGCAAAACGGAGCACTTATATTCCAAACAGGAACACCACCAGCTCGGAAAAATGATACAAAAAAACACAAACTCAATCCTCGAAAACACTTCATTCAACAACACATTAGAGATAGCACAATTGCACAGCATTGACGCGGCACAGAGAACCAGAACGCACCGAGTCGGAAACCTGCCACACAGCACCAAATCACACGCTGTGAGGTTCCACCGAGAGCTCAACTACACCGGAGCATGGGAATGAGGTCGAAAGACGAAGCAGAAGAGGTGATCGAAGGCGATGGCGAAGAGAGAGCGAGAGAGCAAAGCAAAGCACAGAAAAGCGTTCAGCGCTTCACGGAAAGCAGTGAACGCAACAAACACGAGGATGCGGGAAGAGCCTGCGCAGCTCGCCCCCTTATGAATGTCCCCGCTACTTACCGCAGTAAATTCCTGTGCAGAGTAACCGAGGGTAAAACATCAAAAAAAACTATTTTTTACTGTGGGTACGGCCCCGATCCCGCCAAGGGGTTCCTGCGGTTAAACGCGGGTCAATTTTATTCACCCCCCCCCCTCGCCAACTACCCTTCTCAATTTTCCATTTATAGCTCATTTTACCCCCCGTTATTTATTAACTTATTTTTGTGTTGCGTTGTGTGTGTCTCAATGAAGCTTGAATATTCATGAAGAGATAAAATAGACTTAATTAATTATTCAGTAAATAAATAATAATAATAAATGGTGCACACATAAACCATGGTTGTAAGATGTGTTTAAATCATGCTGTTGGAACTTTATTGTTTCATACCTTATTAGATTTTTTTATTTTTTTATTTTTTTATATTTTTTTTCTTGTGTGTGTGTGTTGTACTTTACCCTTTGACTTGGATGGTTGTAGCAAAATGTTGTTATAGTGTTTATATATATATATATATATGCAAGAATAATGGAATTTTCGTACAAAATAGTATGAATTTTCCTATGTTTGAATTGATTTTTTTTCACGTTGTTAGTACGAATTATTTTCACAGCAAGCCATGTTTACAAAATGTACTCTTTTTTCTTTAAAGCATAATTACAAATGTTAAATTTTTTTATATTTGCTTTACAAAAAATAGCAATACAAATTCTCTTGTGAATATACAACAATAAAACAGCCAAACATATGTTTTCCTAATAAGTTTAATCATTCGGTTAAAGATTGATACAAAAAAAATGCTGATAATGAACAAATAGTATTTTAAAAAATAATGTACCCTTTTTAAATAAGAATGTTTTAATTTTAGCAATACATGAGTAAATAATAACATTAACAAAAATGTTCAAGCCAAGTAAAATCAACATACAATCAAGAAAACATTGAACATAATAATTGTAAAGGAATGTCAATTCTTTTTCTCAACAAAATAAGAGAAATATTAAATCCACCCACTTTAAACTTAAATTGAACCATGTGAAACTGCACACTCTCTCACCAATCCCTCAATTTTGTGATTAGTGATGTGCTAATTTTGCAAGGAGGTGAGAGGACTAATAAATTTGAATGTGAAAGATCAACTTCAAAGATAGAAATAGGCAACATAAAGATGATTTCACATCAAAGAGAAGTTGATCTTTTTTCACATCAAAAAGGATCAACAAGATAGATGTTTTTATTGAGAGTGGGTTGATGTAAGATTCAAATGGGTTAATTTAATATTTCCCTAATATAAGACTCGTGATCAATTAATTTTTTTGAAATGAGCTTATTTTTTAATAAATGTTAAGAGCATAAATAAGAAATATTACAACAAATGCTCATGCAAGTCAAGTAAAATCGTATTGTTCAAACAATAATAATTGTGTAGCAATTCTGACATTCCTTTGATTGAGTGTTTAATCCTTTTGGTTGAGTGTTGCTATATTCAACTTCAACTAGCAAACTCATACAATGCCAATTCAATTAAAAACTTTTCATCACTGTCATTCTTTTTAAGTAAGAGACAATATTTTGAATTTATCCTCTTGTGAGTAAAAACGGAATTATAATACTTCAAAACCTTGTTCAATGTGAAACTAAAAATACAAAATAATCTTCTGTCTTATAGTTTCTATATGAATTATCTGAATTATTACGTGAAACTGGTTGAACATGTTTGTATAAAAAAAATGCAAATAAATGTGAAAAAAATCATTTTATGATATCTAAAACTTTTACGATTGTTGGAAAAAATTGCAGAGGCTTAAATTTTTAAGAAAACCAATTCCAAAGTTGAATCAACATTTCACCACTGAAAAATGAAGCACTATGAAGGTTCCATTGTTTTCACAGGTTTTGAGTTTTTTCCTTCTTCAAATTAAGTTACAAAAAAGTTTTGCAAAAAATCAATCTATTGAAAGAAATTCCAAACCTTTAAATTGTGCATTCCAATCATTGACCTGCATAATTATGCAAGTCACAAGTTATTGAAACTTGTATACCCATGTACAACCAAAAACAAGTTTTCAATTATTCACTTGTAAGTAAAGATCCATTGTTTATATATGTTGGCTAAAGCCTAAGTTGGTTGGAGATTCATGAATTTCAATTGCTCCACGATCTAAAAAAAAATAATAATAATAAATAAGGTTTTAAAATTCAACAAGACTCCTGAAGTCAACAAGAAGTAAGTCTGACCTGGTCTAAACAATGACACCATTATAAAAAACTGTCTTATATACGGTATAATATACAGTCAAATCTCGTAGTCTTGGAGTAGGTTGGATCTTGTCTTTCACAAATATAATATAAATAAATAAAGTATTAATTGTATAATTGTATTTTTTTTTTTATGAATCAGGCATTAATTTTTGAAAGAATGACATAGGAGTTAGCCCCAAATTTTATATTAATAGCAGAAGGGATTAATATCTCTTTTTATTAGCATTGAATTGGTCTCACATCCAACTTTGCAATTTGTTAACTTTACTTTTCATTTACAGCAATTTGAGAGCCATTGAGTGTCAAGAAGAAAACAATAGAACTGTGAATGTGTTGGTTACATAATTTCTTAATATTTAGATTCATTCTGATCAATATACTGTTATGAATGTCTTTGTTATTTTATTCTATTTTATGACTCTTCCTTTTTCTGGGACAAGGTTGTTACTAAAGTACTTCATACAGAGTCTAACTATGTTGAAATTGGAGCAAAAATATATTCAACAACGAAACATTGGAATAAAACTAATTCACTTCTGTTAGTAATATGAATACATTTTTAAGAAGATTGTCACGTTTCTTTGCATTTCTCTTTTAAAATTCCATATCAAATTCAAAAAAAAATTGAAAGAAGAGGAAGACAAACTGCTGTAACATTTATTTTGTTTTAGAGATACATTTCAATGTTCATTTAAAAAATAAAATAAAATAAAATGAAAGATGAAAAATTTCACAATTAGGTGTAAGTTATAATTGAAATATTAACCTTCATTTTTTTCTTAATAATTTTTTTCTGATTCAGAGTAAAAAATAAATAAATAAATAAAAATGCAGACATATCTCAATTTAAGAAATAGTTTGTTACTTGATACAGAACAAAGATTAGACGTTATTCTGGTTTGTCTTAATTCCTGTTTAACTGTTTTTCAAGCAAGGCAGCTAATAAATCATAAATAAATAAAAACTGTTACAGATATAAAATGGTCATTATTTTTGTTTGTAAATTTTAGAATTTTATGATTTCCTTAACATAAGTCAAAATCAATTTGTTTAACAAACGAAAAATGCATCAAAAAGTTGACAACTCAAGATATTTTTTAATTGTATGATTTAAAAGAAATTGAACATTAAAATTAAAATTAAAATTAAAAGAAAACTTGGTGCTTTATTTTTATCTTTAAAAATGATACATTACTATTTTCATCCACATATGCACACATTTGTATGTGTGTAAATTTATATAAATATATATATATATATGTTACAATTTTTTTTAATATTGTTCAAAATACCAGGATAAAAAAATGATAAACATTGCATGTACGTACATAAATTTTTATTCATTGTATGTTGAAAAATATTATATGCTTATTTAAGCCTGCAAGGTATTGAATACTGCACATTCATTTTACATTAAAAAGACTTAAAATGATTTTTATAAATTACACACAAGCATTTAAATATATGAAATTCTCATTCCATTATTTTTATGTCTTATGTGAATTATACATTACTAATGATTCAAATGATATTTTTAATTTTTTGTAAAAATATGTTTTTACAAATTGGAATCCTTAAGTTTCATAAAAAAAAAGTACATCAATCAATGTTACTATTAGTTCATTTTAACATGCATACTTTTAAATTATCAGTTAAGAAAAATTAAAATTGTGTGCCTAAACTGAAATAGGTACTAGATGAAGTTCATTATGTGAAGACTTTTATGCAATAAAAATGTTAATTATATATATTTAAAATTCTTTTAATAATAGATGATTTCTTTTTTATGACCCAATTAAATTACAGTGATATTTTTTGCAACTCCAATGTAAGATTCAAAATTATAATTAAAAAAAAAAAAAAAAAAAAAAAAAAAACTGCATTGTCATATACATATCATTATCACTGCCATTACAACTCTTTAAAGTCCAAATATTCCCAACCCATGCACAAGTTCTGTTTCAACAAACTTCTCCATGGATCTTTATAAGCGACTATGTTTCTATCTTCATGACAAACATCTTATATATATATATATATATATAGGAGAATGTTAAATAGACCTATGCTTTTACTAAATACACCATCCTTGATGAAGCATATGGTAATCATGATGAATGTGGTTGGGTTTTTTGGTTGCAGATCCAATAGTGGAGAATTAAATCTAGAGATCATTTTTATTTTTCATGATGGTTAGGATAGGTGGGTTGATTTAATAAAAACTTTGGTGTATTAAACATTCTCATTCATATACATATACATGAATTTGTGTTTAATAATAATAATCATGATGTGTTGAGATACTCATAAACCTACTTTTGTTTTGAGTATCTCAACACATCATGATTATTATCACTAAACACAAATTTATGTATATTTGGAGCCTCTCCACGAGCGTGTCAATTCTTAAGGCACAATCACCAATGCACTCTATTTATACCTTACCACACAATGTGGAATCTCATACTTTCGCCTTTTTCCCCAGAAAGGATGGAGTAGTCCTACGAGTTAATATCCGTCCATACGACCGGTGCATCAACTTCTCCATTACTGGATGGTTCTGTAGCGACAGGGCAGGCGTTACATGGAATGGCGTGAAGGACGGTCTCTCTCTCATTCACTCCCGTCTTCCCTTCCACGTGGTGCCATGTCATCCTGTTGAGTTGCCATGTCATCAGGACAAAATTGCCACGTAGGATGATGAGATGGCTTGGGGC